TAGAAGGATAATATTACATTCAGGATTTTAAAAAAAATAACATGAGACACTTTTGTACCCGGTCAAAAGGGAAACGATACCCCCCCCCACCCCCCAAAAAAGGAAAGATTTGTACGAACACAATCGCTGTCGATGTAAATTCCATTTCACAATAGTTCCTTAAAGTAATTTTTATTTTGCAAAAAAGTGTTTTACCTAAAGATTGTCATCAAGGAAGAATGAAACTCGGGATTTTATACTTATAATACCTTTGGATTTTCATGAGTTTTGCCCATCTCCACTCGGCAACCCTGTTTCAGAACAAGAGCGTCGCTCATTCAAGTTAGGTTTCCACCGGGTAGTCACCAGCATTTTCACGGAAACCCCGCGTCTGGCGAATTGGGGAGGAGGCCCAGGCGCTTATAAGGTCTGGAAGACAGAAACAAAAAACAAATAAAACAAACACTTTGCTCTTGCCAAATGGTTTCTTTTGTTTCGGATTGTTCTGCGGCTGGAAGTGAGCATAGCGAGCCGCCAACCACTCTCTCCCCTCTCTTGTTCCAGGATGCTACTTTGTTACATTACTTGACTAAAAAAGTGTTGGGGATTCTACGCCTCGCGCAGTTATACGCGGCAAAGCGTTATTTTCTTTCACTCGAGGGATTGCACTACTTTACAGTTTTTAATTTTTTTCTTTTTCGTTTTTTCAAACTGATTACCACTAATACTCTTACGCCAGCTCAGTCAAAGCATACCGAGATAATTTCTTTAATTTACCGTTGCACATTCTTGGTAAAATCTTTTAAAACTATTTTCCCTCGCCGTAGTTTGATTTCTTTCTTTATTTGTATGAAAGAGACACGTTTGATAGTGATGTCCACCCGAAATACATTTCAAAAGTGGACATATCAAATCGATGGCCAAAGTGCGGAACCACGAATCTCAATTGGACATATTTATGCTAAAAGGAACCATGTTACACGCAAACCCTATGCACATTGTTCCTTTTAGCATAAATACGTCCAACTGCAGTTTTTCAAAATTTCTAAGAGATTTTCGCAAAGAAACAAGCCGACTTTACAGCTTGAAATTTATACAGAACATGCTGTCAAGTAAGAAGAAAAAGCAACAAAGTTTCCAAAAAATAATGACTAGTTTTCCAAAAAAAATTGATGTATGCCGGGAAGTCTGCAACGTCATAAACGGAGATACGTGGTTTTACACTTTGACCATTGATATTTTAAACCAGTGTATTCACTTGACAAACTGGAAGAAACGAGACTAAAAGTTATTATACCTTAAGTGTTTGTATACAGTCAGCATTTAAAAATTTAACTTGCAGATCTTCCTCTCTGCATATTGTCTCAGAAAAATCAAATCAAAATTCTCTCTATGAGTAATTATGAATCCGTCAAATTTGTGTACAAGATATAACATTCATTCAAACCTCGGTACGATTCATTGGTTGTAATCAATGATAAATCAGCAGCGGCTGGAGTGAGCTCTGTAGATTGAGTGAGAAAATTTTAATTTAAATTGATGATAATGAATGAGAAAGCTATTTTTAAAAGATAAAGCATTAGGCTAGAGGCTTAATCAAGATAAATCATAACTAAACTGCGAGACTGCCGAGGGGAACCGGGAACGTGCGACAATTTCATGTTTTTGTCCGTCTACGGGATGAGTCAGAGACCTATCCGTGTGTCGTTGTCTTGGGAAACTTTTTTAATCATATATTCGTATGAGCATCACGTCCAATCTTTTTGGATGTTTTATTTACGTGCCTGCGTCTCGTCTAAAACGACATAAATCAGCCATTACACCTTGAATCACTGGTGCGCACGTTGCTACGAAAACGTTCTCATTCTCTACACCTCTGCCACATTCCGGCCGATGTGAGGATTTTCGTGTCGATTGAAGACTATGACAGGAATGCGGGTAGAATAACTTACACCCCTGGCCTGTGAGAATTAAAGTAGGACAGCGTGGAAAATACGGTGCACACCGAAAAACCCCTTGATTATACGAATCAAATGGTTCAGCAGGCGCTTTATGGTTTAGAGGCGCGAGCCCTCAGTCAAGCAAACTGATCTCTTCAGTTCACTAAATCGAAAATCCACACTGGATAAAAAATTTGATTGGGCTCTTGTCCAGATTCTTAATAACGTTGACAAGAAAAAAATACTCTTGATTCAATCAGATTTTTCCTTGAGTCGAAGAGCCGAGCCTCTTGATTTAGGCGGATTTCCTTTTGATCCAAGCAAAAAGTCCGATTGAATCAAGAGTATTTTTTCTTGTCAATGTTTTTTAAGAGTCTGAACTCCAGATCCAAGCGACTTTTTCAGTCCAGTGCAGTCAGTTGAATCGAAAAAATTTGGTTCATATTTTCTACATACCTAACCTAAGTTTCCCAGTTTGGTGGAAAGGCTTTGGTTCCTGGAACTACACAGTTAAAAAATTTTCGTTTTAAAGGTCACTTTGAATTGAGGTACTCTTTTTTTGACCAACCAACCTAATGGACTCGGTTAATAGACCAAATTTTTTGTTAAATCGACCAAAACCATAGGTGACTTTGAGATAACTGGGGATGAAGAAAGTTCTTTGTTGGACTAATGTACTCTTATTCCAATCGTTGTTACACAGAGGTTGCGACTTGCAAGTGACCACGTAACCAGGGCATTGGACTAATACCCAATACGATCCAGGTTTGATCCTGACCATTCGTGCCTGATGTTCAATGCGGTTGCCCAAAAAACCCAAAAATTTTGTCTGTTTGAACCACAGAAAAACCAACCAAAACATATCAACCTCACATTTAAGTTACTTCGTGCTCTACTTCCAATATTAGTTACTTTTTCTTACTGTGTGAAGATTGGTTCTGTCAACTGAATTGGTCGCTTCGCGCGGCTGAACCGAAAAGAGCCTCTACCTTTTTGTTTCGTGTAACGAAGTTGCTTTTATCCTTACACATATGACATCTGTTATAATGTCCCGAAGGTGGTAAAACGAACTGTTCCGATGGCACTAAAACCGAGAGGATTCACACTCGTCGATACATCGGCGATTGTGAGCGATAAGAAGGCGCCAAGGGGTGTAACATGCCAGGGCTCGGAGGGTCCGGGGTTCAAAGACTCGATCGCATGTGAGCAACCGCAGCTTCAAAGAGGCAGCAACTTGTACAACACGATACGTGTCGATCTCCGACGAAGCTGTAAAACTTAAAACGAAAAGCGAAGGAAGAGCGAGACGAGGAGGCGGGGAGGACGAGGGGAAAAAGTCAGTGATGAGAGAAAAAAGAGGTAACCCCCGCAAGCACGAGGAATGCCCGGGAAAGGGGAACCAAGGAGCGGGGACCGGGGTTCTGGAGGCGGCGGCGGCGCAGGTGCGGGCTACGGGCGCGGCGGCGGTGAAAATCAGCAGCATTTCGCGAGTTCGGGTTTCAGAGTATTGGTGAGCGCACTTTGATCAGTGGTTTGAGGATTTGGTTTGACGTCCGGCATATGGAACAAGGAACAACATAGGCATGAACCTCCCAATATTATCGAATAACACAATCTCATCATGTCCGCGGCCGCGCGCTCACCAGCTAGACCACTTCTGTATCCGCCGCCCCGCCAACCGCGCTCCCCGGCTCTGTTTATTTTATTAATGCCTTTGACCAATCAAATGGAAATCATTTTACATCGAACTTCATATGTTCTTTGTTTCGGTCATGTGACGCGATTCAACGTCTCACTCCCCACCCCTGGTCCCGGTGCCCCCTGCCCCAGCCGTATCCGACTCGTTAAATAGCTCGACATTCTTGCATCCATCGAGCGGGTATAAATTACCGAATAAACAGTCCTTTCGAGGAGATCTTGTTAACATTTTTCTAATCGTTAAAACTCACTCGTTAGAGTGACCAGGGCGACCAGCTATCACGGCGAATCAGTAGTTTTGGATCCCCGTCCGAATCTCATAAAGCAGTGCGTTTAATGCCCGCTCCCCTCCATCGATCAAACCGAAGAAGCGTTCAAAAAGCACTTCAAAAAATACCTCCACCGCGAACACAATAAATCAGGTATCGTTAAAGTGTCGAGCTGCCCTGCCAGCCTGTCTCGGGCTCTCGGCTCCGGTGCCCTCTGCGAAATTTATGTCCTGCGCTTTGAATAATTTTTGTCCTTAAGACCAATCAGTTCTAATTTGTTGATTGCGTCGGCGTCCAAGTGGAGTTTCTGGTAATTTCGCTCCAATTTCACCCGTCAATCGCTGACGGATCGGAAGATGGCTTGTTGCGATTCGTTTGATCTGTGGACCTACCAGGATGATTCCCAATTCATGAACCAGAATATTTCGTTCATGAATCGTGGACCGTGCCTTGGAAACATTGCAAGAGACAGATTTCTTTTGAAGTCCTCCAGGAGGCTGGTATCAGATCTTGACGGAGGTGGCTCTAAAAGCATTCTAGCGCTTGGAAAACCGTTTGCCTCTCGTTTGTCCTTCATCTTGTAGAAAATTTCCACACTTTATCTGAAGGAAACTTTCCGTACCTGGCAGTGTATGTCGTATAATACATTAAACTTTACTGGAGGAAGTGTGTGCCTGAGCAAAATAACATTTTAGGCGCAATTTAAACGATCGATTTATCGACTTGGAACCTTCGAAAGCTTAAGGATATCTTGCATGTGTCTGAAAAATTGAGAGGTATTTCACGATTTTATTTTTCGTCACATGAAGAAAAAAGTGTTATGGGTCATTCTACTCCAATTTGTTGGAGAAGATAGAACAAAATTATCTAATCTGCCAAAATACGTGTGTTTAAGTGGGAAATGTCACCAGATGACGCCACTAGGCGGTGCATTTTCTTACTTTTAAATCTATTTTTACTCTATTTCCCATATCAGAAAAAAATAATAAAAAATACCATGAAATCAGCTCTTTAAGCACTTTTAGTATGCAGCAATAAAAAATTTGTATGCAAATTCTCTATTGTCTGAAATATAATCTGAGCGTAATTTTCTCGTTTATTTGTTTGTTTCCAGTTGGAATGGACATGACAAGTGCGGAGCCCAGTACTCATCGGAGTTGGTACGACACTACCTCCGTGGGTAGGGGCGAGGATGCCATCGACAACATGGCCTCTTCGGTGGTTGAGCACATGAGTTCCTTGTTCGTATCGCACCATGGCGCGGGTCTCGAACCCAGCCCTCGGGATTACCGTGCTCCCTACCAAATCTCTCGCTATTACCACCAGCAAATGCATTCACCTTACGCCTCAGCTGCCTCACACGGTAAGTTCAGCTCCAGTTTTATTTTTTAATCTTCGACTCGAATTAGAAGCAAGTTGATATCCATGGTGAAACTACCAGACCACCTATCTCGGTTTGCGGACTTTCTGTCGCACTTCATTTTTAAATGCAAAAGTACTCAACGTTGATTCTTAAAAACGCCCATGTTTCTTCCACACTGTGTGAGGAAAACTCTGTGAAAATTTCAAGAATGGATACTGATCTGCTCTCCTTCAAAAAAACAAAATGGGAGCGGAGATTTTTGAACACCGCAAACGAGATACGTAGTCTGGTAGTTTCACCGTCGATATAAGATCAAGGGCCGCATTAATAGTCGTTCCTTAAACAGTTCCTTTCCATAGGAGTACGGTTTACACAGTGATTGAGGAAACTTTAAAGAGAAGTTTAATATAGCATCGTAAAATGACAATTTGAATAAATCTCGAGTAAAATTCAATAGTGTATCGTCAGAAATTGACTCTTGTAAGGGATAACAGTGATTTGTCACTGCAAAAATTTAAAGGTACAGAAGCAAAAATGTTGCAGGCGTTGACAAATTTTCAGTAGGTTCAAATCCACCTGAAAGTTTGTCAAATTCACTAATTTTTTTTTCTGTATTTTTTATTTTTTAAATGATCCTTAAAGGTCTATTTTCAAAGCTACACAGATGGATTTCACTCAAAATTCTGTAAAGTTGTCCTTTTCAGGATGGTATGTCGAGCATCTCCTTAAACTGACCTCCTCAACTCCTACGTAGTATAACTACCGCGGCAATTCATAGTTTTCGCAAGACGATATCTTGCTCTGTCTTCCTGTAAACGAACAGAATATGGCCGGTATTAAGGCAAATTAATGGATTTAAGCTGAATCTGGTTAAATCCGTCCGACCGTGTGCTGGAGATCCCAGAAGCACTGATGATTCCAAGCGTTTGAGGGGATTGTGCCAAGGAGCTCCAAGTAGCGGGATTAATTTTTCCAGAAGCTCCCCGGTAGTTTTATACGTACTACCGAAATAGAACTGAATTGGGAAGAAGCCGAAGCGTAAACGACCCAAGTTGTGTAAAGGAGCACTGCCGTGCTAAGAAAAAACGTCATAAGAACATTTTGGAGATTGCCCAATTTTCATTAGCAAACTACTTATTCTCACATAAAATTATGGTCATTTGTCGTTGATTTTTCCAGGTACTTCAAATTAAATTGTGAATGAAATTTTGTGAAAAATCAACAGAAAAATATGCCAAAAATATTCAGTGAAATCGAGGTTTATCAGGTGAAATTGAGCAACGTCTGAATGTTCATAGGGCGTTTTTTCCATAGCGTCGCTGAGTAACCGCTGCCGACCATTGCCGCGGACGGAGCTGGAAACTGCTCAGCGTTTATTGATTTATTGCCAAACGCGAGGTTTTTCTCGGCTTTTATGAACTTGTAACCAGCACCGAACGGTTACCGTGCTGCGCCCGGCTTGCTTTCAAAATAAAATAAATGTATATATAGTTATGTATAATTAAGCCATTACACGTTAACTCATTTTTTACGACCGCTGTAAATTAATTAGCGCGGGCTTTTTTTTCTCTCTTCTTTCCTTGGCCCTCGGAGTGGCCCACGAAAGGTTTAGGATGCGGCGCCGCGTCTTGAGATGCACTAAAAGTCCTGTCCATACGGTGAAAATATCAGGTTTATTCATTTTTCAGTCCTTATTAGCTGGCGTCCCGCTGCTTTGTGCGTCTTTCGCGTGTACTCGTTGGCGTCGCACGAATGCGTGTCCTTATTATCCGGAGCAGCCAAGGTCCTTTAATTGGTCTCCGAGCTTTCGAGTTTACGAATCACCCGTAATTGCAGCATCCTTTTCTGAGAAAAAAAAAAAAAAAAAAAAAAAAAAAAAAAACGTAAAAATACAAGCCTCCTCTCCGTGATTGGGAGTATCCGAAAATCCGAGTTGTTTTTTAAAGCATTATCAGTTGCTGAGGAAACTCCTATGTAAAGAAGTTCATATGATCCTCACAGCAATTGCAACGAAAAACAATTTTCTATCAGACCAATAAAATTTCCAATCAAGAATTCCTGGACGAGAATTCTCATTGGCTCCTTGTAAAAAACCATATTTTAGTTTTTCCAAAGAGACGTCCTAGATCCCCTATGTTTAATTGCTCTTTGGTGGCAAGGGCACGGCAAATCAGACAGCGTGCAGGATGACGAGGTCAAAATGAATGCAAGCGCTGGTGCAATCGCACCCGCCATGTTGTAAGCGCGGAATTTTGGATTCCACCGGAAATATCCAAACCTGCATAAATGTCGAAACCGGCGAAAAGCGTATCGGCTCGAGTGATTTCGAATCTCCGAGCACATATCTGCCGTGCTAAGTAAGAACGCCGTATGAGCCTTCAGGCGTTGCCTGATTTCTTCTGACGTAACACGAATTTTCAGGAAAATTTGTGAGAAATTTCACCTCCGATTTTCACAGGATTTCGTCCGCAATTTAATCTGAAGTGTCTGAAAATTTCTAGGAAAAATATTTAAAACTTTCCTTAAGAATAAATATTTTCAAAGAAGAAATTTGGCAACATTCGAATGTTTTTACGGCGTTTTTACCTATTACGGCAGCATTTCACGTCGCGTAGCCGCCGTCGGAGCAGTCCAGTGCAGAACCCAAGGCAGGAGGAGCATGGCGAAAAGACAGGAAACAAATTTCCTGTTTCTGTTGAGTGTATGTAATCGATGAGTGTGGTGTGTTCGGTGGCATGGCGCGAGCAAAAACCGCGGTCCTTCGTTGAGTCAATGATAGAGTTACGCGGTTCTTGGCGCGGAGCCACCGTGTTGAAGCGAGTTGTGTCCCATGTCCATTTGCTGGCCACTGCATTACGTTAATACCCGCAGAGGCTAATTATCGTCCAAAATTAGCTCCCCGTCGTTTAATATGCGCGCCATTGTGATTCGTTTTCCGCACTGCCCGAAAGTTCTACCTTCGTCCTGAATTTTTCATTGATTGCCCCCGCGTCCAAGCTTCACCGTATGGATTGTATTTAGCAGGAGAGAACCATAACGCAATTACAGTATTGTGCAAATAGTACTTTTTTTAATATTTGTCTATAAACTTACTTAGAATGGCAATAAGTATTTCACGGGAAAAAAGTGTCACGGGTTATCCCCTAAAATTGTGGTACCACCCCAATTTGTTGGGTGAATGTACATTTAAAGTTAATTGTGGTAGTCCCGCAACTCAAGTTCGGTTAATATTTCAACATTTGTGTTAGTAACCTAATTTATTGGGTACTACCACAATTTATTGGAAATGTCCATACCCTATCATCCAACAACCCCGCGCTCTCCCTTTTCCGTGCTGTTTTTCTACTTAAAATTGTTTAGATTTTATTTCTGTTCCCATATTGTTATTTGCTCAGCCAAAATGACATTAAGCGATCTTCAAAATACTGTACTCGCATGGTTTCCGCTATGCGATTCAATTGCAGAAAGGATTATCCTCGGTAGGCTCCTCAAACATTTTTCAAAAAAAATTGTCTTTGTGAGTAAAAAGGACTTTAATGGCCGATTCCCAAACACTTTTTACAGGAACGTGTGACATCATGCCCATTACATTCCCAAGCGTGTAAGTTGTGGAATTTCCGTAAAATCCACTGCTACTTGTACAGTAGATGTTTCCATCATTAATGGCCACCGGCGCTCACGCACAGTCAGCGACGAAGTATGTTGGGCTAATTCCTCTATATTTCCCATAGTCTGTGCCGCCATGCTGTTGACGCCGCGTTGTCATTTCTCAAAATAAATGCCGTGCTTTATCGTCTCGTGAGCTGACATCGCTCATTATCCCTGAGAAATGACAGCAAAGCATCAGTTTATGATAATAATTTAAGGAAGTCACTTCCCTCTCCAGGAGCAAAAATCACTGGTTCGGCCTCTTTATTGAGCCGAAGTTGCATTCCGACTTTATTTTGATCGGGTTCATTTGCGAGAGATGGTGCCGGATCGGAAATACACCTACAGGAGGACACTGAAAAACTGATAACTCAGATTCGTCAAACAGGCAACTCGGGTTAGTTTGTGGGTATGTGCACGTGAAAATGATACGTTGGACGAATCGGAGTACGGTATTCAATTATACTGTTTGCAAGAAGCCCTCATCCGCCTCCTCAACAGGCGCCTAATGCACCCGTTGGAGAGACTCCTCAATCCTCAAAGCCCTTTCATAGCAACCCATCCCAAGTAGTCTGAGATTTACGCCATATCTGCCGTGCTAAGGAAGAACGCCGTATGAACATTCGAGAGTTGCCAAATTTCCTTCGAGAAAATGTTCTTTTCCGAGGAAACTTATGAATATTTTCCCTTGAAATTTTCAGGGCTTTTCGGTGGAATTGCGAGCAAAATTTTCTGAAAAATTGAGAGAAAAATATTCATAAGTTGACCAAGAAGTTCGTGTTTTATCAAGGGAAATTTGGCAACGCTTGAAGGTTCATACGGCGTTCTTCCTTAGCACGGCAGTAGTGGTAGTAAGAAAAAACAGATTTCTGATGCCTCATCCGACAAGTGCAGATTCCGCCGTGACTGGGCTCGTAATGATATGGAATTAGAATAAAGACGTAAGTTTCATTAATTCGTGGTTGAATTTTCGTTTTTAGACGCTTAACGGCCATTGCCAAAGTGCGCAAACCTTTCATCCCTACGGATAACTTGAGGATTGAGAATGATACCTGTCCATGCCTTCTGCACGCCCCTAATAACACGGCGCGTCTAATAGGTCTAAATATTCTCTTGTCGGGTTGTCAAATTGAGCATGACAGATTTATCCTCGGTGCTTGAGTACAAACGGGCTTCAATTAAACGAGGATATTTTAAAGTTTCGAGATTCAAAAAGCACTGCTGAGCTTTTATAAATCTATTCCTGGTCAACTTCGATCCATCTCTGAGGCTTCTTTTCTAATCATTTGTACTTTTCACATCAGACAACTGTTGACGGATATCGAAACCCGCCTCAATTCTGCTTAAGTTTG